TATAAAATGCTGTCCCATAGAATCCACATCCCTATCAAGGCAGTCTTTGAAATAAAACGACTTCCAGCTATTTGTCATATGCTTTTAGTATGTTTAAAACTACAGGAAAAGATTTTTTATGGATCAAACATCCAACCACTCGAGCTACTCCTCAATTTATATCACATATCTGGAAGTCAAGTATCTTTTTAAATCCAAGATGAGTCAGCGTTTAGGTAGTACGTCCAGAATTTGTTGGCTCAACTCACGCGAATGGTTTTCAAATTCACAAAAATTAGATCAAACTCTTTAATAAACTGATCTAAAGTCATAAATGGAGACATCGTTCTCGCCTGCCAAATTTTAGTGTCTTCCGCATACTCCGCTTCGCCCTTTTCAATGGTAAGTGACGCTCCGAGTCAGTCGGAAACAAAGGGACCAGTAGAAACCCATTCACAAATGCTTTTACGATTTGCCAATCCAATGAATATTCCTGCCACCCTCACTGGTGAAATTGGTAGTCAAGGCTGGACAAAAAACACCAATGACACCACCCTCCTACTGACCGATTTGGTGCCATTCACCCTCAACTCCAGTCAGCAGGCCTGCTCAATCACCCTTTGTGTAGTCTTCCTTGTCAGTATTATTGTGAATCTCCTCTCATGGCATTGTCTTCGACGGCTGTCCGGCGGTAGAGGTCTCTGCATTGTTAAATTTTTCCTTTATCTTACCGTCCTGGAATCCATTGACCTCTTAATCAAACTGAATGATGTTCTGATGTGCGTGACACACGGAGTGCCCATGTTTATAGCAATGGAATTTCTAGGACGTTGGTCGTGCCAAACACTAGCAATGGGTTACACCTCCTTCAAGCACACGGAGAGCCTTCTCATCACAACCCTTGCGTTTGATTCTCTCATCTTTTTGAAACAACTGAAGCAACATGTTGCAAAATTTCGGGCTGAGTGGGCCTTCAATGCGTTTATCTTCATAATCGCTACTGTAGCGACAACAAACAGTCAGTTCTTTTGGACTTTTGATCTCTTTCGTGTGGATAATCGAATGCCACCGAGTGATTCACTTTACGGAGGTGGGGTCCTGGCAGAACCCACCCTCTATACGTGCGGATTTTCTGCCTCCTATAGCCTAAATCATGCCTTCATTGCCTATCTATGGCCGGCTCTGGATCACCTCATTGGTGATGTGCTTCCATGCCTACTACCTCTGGCTGCAGGAGTCATCATCTTATCAACACGAAGAAAAATTTTGAAGACCAGTAGGCGCAATTCGAACACTGACAGTACAGGTGATTTGGAAGAATTAATGTGGATTTTACCAGTACTCCTCCTCCTACATGGACTTTCTATTCTTCCAAGAATGCTATTTTACATCAAGAAATATTTCCTGTTTTCAGGTAGGTGGAAATGTTCTAGACAATTGACAGATGTAATGTTAAGGATGGAGACAGCTTCCGTGCGCGTGCACAAGTCTGACAAAACATGATTTCCTTACATAAGCTCAAGAGACTGGCAATAAATTATTTCCAAGTCAGTGAGTCTTGGCATTGGGCAAACCTCGGATACCATTTCCTTCCTACATAAATATAGCCACTCGGTATAAGAGCGGTCCTCAGGGCAAAATTTTGGCATTGATGAATGAGTTGAACGACCCTTTCCCATTACCACCTAAATTACTAATTTCCCAGAGCCTTCACACTTTTCCAGTTAAATAGAAACTATTAAGAGATGCATGACGATCGTAGGTTGTGAAAAAGATAAAAGACAAGTAGTTACTGGTGTTTTGACTGGAGTAAATAAGTAAAATTGAAAACAATTATTAAACATAAATTTTGCTTCTAACCAGTTGTAGGCAAATGCGGATTAACAGTAGACAAAATCTGCATCGTGCTGGAGTTCATTTGCTCGTTTTCTCCACTTCCATTGCGCGGTGTGATGATTTGCTA